GATGATTCCACAACTTCCAACATTTAAAACATTTAAAGTGCTGTTGAGCAGCTGTGTCCTGAGAAACACAGAAGCAACGTCCCCCTCCCAAAATGAAGTGAAAACACCAACAAGAAGTGTGCTGTTGATGCCTGAGGCTGAATGTAACACTACATGCCTCCACCTCACTGTGAACATCCTTCTCAACACTTCAGAGTGCCAGGCCACCTCTGGCACTCGCTCCTCCTGTGGGGCAGGCAACTGCACACAGCCACAGAGGAACCTGCTAAGCATTTCTGAGTCTGCCTGATCTCCACCTGCCAAGTCATGCTAATGAAACTAACAAAATCTAAAATGGTTATTCTCATTTGCATCCATAGTACCTTTTAAATAGCTATGTTTAAACCGAAAAAAGCCCATTCAGACCACAGCAAAGGGGAGGTGGAAGGCATGTGGCTTGCCCACAGTAACCAACAGGTTAGGCTTGTCACAGAGACAAACTTCCCAGAACACCATTAAATGCCTTCTGACCTTCCTTCTCCCTTTCAATTAGCAAGCAGTGCACAACTGCTAAAAAAAGAAAAGAAAAAAAAAAGGCACTTTGCTCTATGGTCTACAAAGCACGCGCCACGTGCCCGGCAGACACTTGCTGAGGCTCTCCTGCCACATCTCTGCTGCCAGTGAGGCTGTGAGTGCCCAGCTGAACCAGGAACTCGGGATTTGGCTACACGGGGTGGGGAGAATGCCACGGCCAAAGGGAAAGGTGTGATGATGACCAGCAGTGAAGACTGTGCTTACAGCACCGGCACGGTGCCCGCTGTGCTAGTGGCACAGTAACCAGGTCTGGGCACAGGGACACCAGCTATTTTATGTTCAGTTTTGAGATGCACTGCGTGGGTAGGACCCACGCTATCACACTTCCTAGAGCTAGGAAAGAGACAGCTTTAGCTCACAGCTGAGGAATAACCATGCAACAATCCTGCTGGTGCTTCTCTCTTTCTCACAAAGCAGCAGCTCTCTTTAAGAAATTGTTCCTAAAGCTGCACTGGCCACTAGCAGGTTTTGGCACAGAGAACCACGTGGCTTGGGCACAGGCAGCAGCTCTAAGACCCACAGCACCCAGAAATAAAAACTTACACTCAAACAATACAACAAATACAATGTTTCAGAAATGCAGCACTTGAAAAAACATCTTTCTAGCAAGTCTGACTTGGGAAACTACTTTAAAAGAGAGTATAAATTACAGCATTCATCTGCTCCCAATATTATCAATGAGACCCAAACACGTTAAAGCATGAAGTTGCCTATTGCCTCTCCTGCTTCACAAAGGCAGCAGGGACACCCTAACACATCATGAGCAGAATACATGTTAAAAACCTCAATCACATGAACTCGTATGCATTTGCATAAGTGTATCTCAGTGAATGAAGGCAGTGACCTGGCTCACTATGGCCAAGCGAAGCACAAGCATAAGGTACTGCACATTCAGGGTGTAAGGAGACACAGAGTTGCCTTGAAAACCATTTAACTCAGAAGTAGCCAGAGTACGACTTCTACAGCACAATAAAACTGTACAAATTACTGATCCCACTCTCTGTAGGGACTAATTTTGGGAACAGGCCAGGAGTTGCAATATGCCTAAAGGTAGGAGCTTTAAGTAGTAAATTATTTCATTTTCTCAGGCACTGAACACTGTGATGTACTTGACTAAGAAGACACCAAGAGCAGCCTGGGGGAAGACACTGAAAATGTGATATTGCCTGTTCTTCACCTGCCTCCCAATTCCAACTGATCCTCATTGAGGCTGCCACAGTCAGAACACATGAGGCACCTCGTCTGCTGGGTGTAACACCAGTGGCATTTAGAGAAAGATACTGTCAGTGGCCTAAACTCATTCCAGATCCAGCTGCAGGGAAGTTACAGCAGTGCAGATACAGATGCCCAATTTCAAACCATGTCCCACTTCCTCAGAGCTTTCTTGGATTATGCTTACATCCACAGAAACTGCACCATAAAACTGCATTACAACTTTGGTACACTACATTAGCATATTTATTGAAGGTCTATGCCAGTTTGATTTCAGGTTTTTTGCAAGCATTTACTAGCAGATGTTTTAATTAGTATCTCATTGGTGTGTAGACAATGATGTGACACACCAAGAAGCATTTTCTGCATAAAGCGACAATGTTGCATGTTCCATGATACAAACAGCTCTTCCCACCCTCACTACCACAGAGAGGGCCAATGGACTGGCAGTGCATCACAGAAAGGCAAAACTGCATTTAACTCCTCTCACTTCAAGTTTTCAGGGCACCGACAGGGAGGGGGAGGCACAGAAACGAGAGCCACAAGCAATCTCAGTAGTTCATCACCCTCAAAGCGTTAAAAGGAAAATACAATGTCAACATCAGCTCCTCCCTGCTGATGAAACTGGCTCCGGCGCATTTTACTTTCTGGCTCGGAGCCCTTACAAACCGTTACAAAAAGACAGAAGACAGACAGACAGCTCAATATATTGACCACTTCCAATAACTAATTTGGGACACGCAGGGTCATTTGTCCCTTATATGAAGCGCTGTAGCCTCTTGATGGTGAACGAACCCTGATATTTGGGGGGGCATTATTAAAAAAAAAAAAAAAAAAGAAAAAAGAAAAAAGAGGGGGCAGCTAATAGCAGATTTGCGTTTCAGGAAAGAGCCAACGCTAGCATCAGTACCTATGAATAGTGCCCACTCTCTTCCTCCGGGAGACACCGATTACATCTGATACGCTAAAACCGTCTCCAGGACTCCGGTCGCTCGGTGCCCGTCAGCGAGGACACTGACAGGCACTCCTCGCTGCCAGCCTGTCGCTGCTACCCCGGCGCTGGCACACATGGAAGCGGGGAGCGGGAGCCGGGCTGAGGAGCGGAGGGCGGGCTGGGGCTCCTGCTCATCCTCCCTGCCACGGCAACAGCTCGGGCTGCGTGTGCGCCTTCCCAGCCCGGGGACCGGCGGAGCATCACAACCAACCACGCCAAGAAGCCACCACAAGCTTTCAATTATACATTAAAAAAAATAAATCACGCAATTAAATAAATATATATATATATCGTTTCGTCCGAGTGACCTGACTGGTATTGTCCACAACGACCTTATCAGGGGATGTTTTGTTGCAGCCGACACACACGCGCTGCGTGGACTCCGTGGGAGTCTCTCGATGTGGCCACAGCGGGTCTGGCACACAGGTACGCGGCACGTTTCCGTGAAGCCGGGTTTCCCTGGCAGGGCAGGAGCCCCTACAAGCCATCCCCACGGATTTTTCCAGCTCCCGCACCACCGCGTGCGCGGCCAAGCCCCGCCGCCAGAGCCCCCCTGCCGCCCCCGCCCGCGCCGCGGCGGAGCGCGGGGGGCTCGCAGGTAGAACAAAACCCCCGCGCCGGGGTCCCCAGCAGCGGCAGGGCCGTCAGGAGAGCCCCCCGGGCGCCATCGGGCCGGGGCCGGCACCGCAGGGCCGCAGGGCGGAGGGTGTGCGATGGGGGAGCGGGCCGGGGGTGCCGCGCCGCTGCCGCGCCGCCCGCGCCCACCCCGCCGCGCCTTTACCTTCGGAGAGCTCCAGCTCCAGCTCGGCCAGCCGGGCCCGCACCTCCAGCGGCAGGGACACGCTCTCCAGGCTGCGGTCCGCCATGCTCGCGCGGCGGGGACGGGCTCTCCCCTCCTCTGGCTGCCCGCTCTCCCCCTTTGTCCGCGGCTGGCGGGGCGCGGGAAGGCGGCGGGGCCGCGGCGGGTGGCTGAGTCCTCCCCGCGGTCTCAGCCGGGCATGCAGGGGGAGGCGGGCGGGCGGGCGGTCCGCGCGGGGGGACGGGGCGCGGAGGGAGGGAATGCGGAGGTTTCTCCTCTCCTCCCCTCTCCTCCTCCTCCTCCTTCACCGCCTCCTTCAGCGGGGCCCCGCCATGGCTGCTCCCGCCGCCCGCCCGCGATCGCTCCGCATCGGCTCCTCGCCGCGCCCGACCCACCCTCCCCGCCCGCCGCCGCCCGGCACCGCGGCGGCGGCTCCCGCTGGCCTCGCCCCGGCCCCGGCCCCGCTGTCCCCGCCCGGCTCGGGCTGGCGGCGGCGCTGGCGCTGCGGTGCCGCTGCCGCGACTGGGGCTGGCCGGGCACTGCCGCTGTCACATCCACGTGACCGCGCGGCCCGGCGCCGCCCGCAGGGGGCGCCCCGCGCTGCTCGGGCCGCCCCGCCCGCCCCGCGCGGCCCGGGAGCGCCGCTGCGGAGAGTGCGGGACCGGGTGTGAGGGACCGGGGAGTGAGGGACCGGGTGTGAGGGACCGGGTGTGAGGGACCGGGGAGTGCGGGACCGGGGTGTGAGGGACCGGGGTGTGAGGGACCGGGGTGTGAGGGACAGGGGTGTGAGGGACCGGGGTGTGAGGGACCGGGTGTGAGGGACCGGAGAGCGCGGGACCGGGGTGTGAGGGACCGGGGTGTGAGGGACAGGGGTGTGAGGGACCGGGGTGTGAGGGACCGGGTGTGAGGGACCGGGGTGTGAGGGACCGGGTGTGAGGGACAGGGGTGTGAGGGACCGGGGTGTGAGGGACCGGGTGTGAGGGACCGGGTGTGAGGGACAGGGGTGTGAGGGACCGGGTGTGAGGGACCGGGGTGTGAGGGACCGAGGTGTGCGGGATGTGAGGGACCGGGGAGTGCGGGATCGGGGAGTGCGGGATCGGGGAGTGCGGGATCGGGGTGTGAGGGACCGGGGAGTGCGGGACCGGGTGTGAGGGACCGGGGTGTGCGGGACCGGGGTGTGCGGGACCGGGGAGTGCGGGACCGGGGTGTGAGGGACCGGGGTGTGAGGGACCGGGGTGTGCGGGACTGGGGGGTGCGGGACCGGGGTGTGCGGGACCGGGGGATGCGGGACCAGGTGTGCGGGACCGGGCAGTGCAGGGTGTGAAGGACCGGGGTGTGTGAGGTGTGCGGGACCGGGGTGTGTGAGGTGTGTAGGGTGTGCGCGGCCGGGGGTGTACAGTGCTGGGGGTGTGCGGGGCCAGGGTTGTGCAGGGCCGGGGCTCCGGCGGGTGTGTGGAGTCGGGGCTGCAGGGCTGGGGTGCAGGGGGAGCGCGGGCAGAGTTGTTCTGGCTTTCACTCATGCCAGCTCCCAAGAGTGGGGCTGCACGTCCCCGTTTTGCCGAGGAAGACGGGGAAGGAGTGATTTGCTCGACGCAGGAGGAGATTCGACTCTGAAACCCTGTGCGCCCTTTTCTTTACCCACCTGCCGAATAACTTCCAGCCTACCCCTATTTCCACTCCTATTCTCTTCATACAGCCAATGGAGGACTGCAGAGTGTCAGGTTAACAGTGGGACTCGATCTTAGGGGTCTTTCCCAACCAAAATTATTCTATTCTATTCTATTCTATTCTATTCTATTCTATTCTATTCTATTCTATTCTATTCTATTCTATTCTATTCTATTCTATTCTATTCTATTCTATTCTATTCTATTCTATTCTATTCTATTCTATTCTATTCTATTCTATTCCAAGTAAGCCATGGCAGTTCTGGTGGGTATATCACTAAACCATGGTTGCACATTGCCATGGAAGAGCAACAATTTTAATATGATAAAGGACAAAATTGACACATATACCAACTGACACTGAGCCAGTATCAGGGGAACATGTTTAAAAAGACTGAGGACTCTTAATTACACCACTCCAACAAAAGAAGGAATGTTTTGCAAACATTTTATAAAACTACCTTTCAAATCAACAAATATATTCCACAAGGAGCATCTTCCTTTTTTCCTCTGTACATATTTTCTTTCTTTTTCTTTGTTTGGGCTGGGGGTTAGTAGTTTGGCTTGGATTTGGTGGGTTGTTTTAATCCCTCATGAGAAGGAATGAGCAAGACACCACAGCACCTACGGTTTCAAAAATCCTTGGGAGTCCCAACAGTAGAACAGGTCTTTGTGTGACCCCAGTGTTAGCAGAAAGGAAAAGTCATAATCATCCCCAGGTCAGCCTTGATTTAGCTTACTGTTCTAGTCAGGGAAAGAAAAAGATGCAGGAGTTTCTTGAAAAGATAAAGCTTAGGCTTCAACTATACTAAACAAAGTAGTGTTTTATTATGTTGTGGAAGGAAACCAAATTACGTAATGTTACCAGCTGTGCTGTACAGGCATTAGCACTGGAGTGATCCCTGCAGCGTGTGCAGGGCTGGTGGTTTCTCGTGGTTACCAGTGGCAGACTGGAGAGCTGTTTACACCTGACCGTGGCCCATGCCAGCATCACTCCAGCCAGACCAGCAGCAGAACAGGTTGGGATACTTTGGTGAGTTTGCCTGCCGTAAACAAGGCTTGAGCACACACAGTATCCCTCGATTTTATGGTGCTGCTGTTTGTTTTATTGTCATATATGTTGTTTTCTAGTAACCTCTCATGGGTTTCTCTTCAATGCAGTGAGGAGGAAACCCACCTGGCCAGTCTCCTTTGAGAAGGGCCGTTGCTTTCAGCAGCACAATGACACACATTATTTATGGCTATACAAACGCCTCTCCTCCAGCACTGTGCTGCCCAAGAGTAAGAATTTTTACCTTTTGTTGAGCACTACATGTTTCAAATATATACATTCAAAAAAATATCCAGTTTTTTTTTTTTATTACATCCAAATCTAAACAAAGAAAAGCAATTAAATCCAAATATGCTCCAGGGTTCCTACCTGAGAATCTGAGTTTTGTTTGTTTATTGTGTTAAGTGGGATGAAATAGGCTGAAAGCATCAGCCTTCTGCAGAAGTGGCTTTTTCAAGTATGGTGGAGGCAGCCAAAAAGGAGTCGAGGGCAGGCTTTGTGGTGATCCAGCTGCCTCCATCAATGTGTATCTCTGAGTGGCAACTTTTCTTCCCCGGTGCTGATACAAGATTATTTAACTTGTTACCTGGCCATTACAGAGTCTATACTGCTGGTGTTTACACCACTTTCCACATTTTTCCTTTCAGGAAGTTGTATAAAAGGACCTAAAGAGAAGTGGTTGAACAATTGCATTGTGACTGAATTTTCTTGGCTTTCCATGACAAGCCCAGGGTTTCAGCTGTTGGGTGCTTTGAAAGGAAAAGTAATCACTTGGGGTTGGATGTCATCCAGCAGAAGTGGAAATGGCTGAATTCAGCAGACACTCAGGGTGGTGTCCTTGGTCTTGGCTCCTGTGGTGGGCAATTGGGGTCTCCAGGGCCAGGCAGGGCCATCCCATCAGCTGGGGCAAGGTGCAGACAAGGGTGAGTGCTGTAGGAGCATTGACATGGGGACATGCATGGGGCCATGGCACCCTCCTATGGAAAGCCCATTTGTTTCCCTTGGGCCGATCTTGAGAGGAGACATTTCTTATTTATGCAAAGTGTCAGAGCTCAGACTCCAGGAGGGAAATCACAAGCATATAAATTTGCACAATAATTTTGATGAAGCACTGAAATTGCAATGAAAAAGAAACAAGTCGGAACTTCTAACTAGTTGGTCATTATTCATAGATCCTTTTAGGTTTATAGGTAAGAGATTGTGACTTGGGAAAGTTCCAGACTCCAAGAAGAGCAGGATACTATTTGCATTTTGTATGCAGTGATTAATCAGCATGATCAGAAAGAAGTGTATTTTTACTTAACAGTACATGTGTAGCAGTCAAATCCTACTGGCAACTGTGGATCACCTTATGGTATTGATACCTGAGTGAAACCTCTGAAGGACCACATAGAATTGACCTTGCTTAGGTAAAAATATTTTTCCCAGCCCTCTCACAGCAAAATATGTATCTACATTTGCAGAGATTTAGCCCAAAGCCAGGTCTATACTAGAAAACATTCACAGCATCTCAACTTTAGGAAAGGGACAAGGCACTAAAAATATTTAGGGAAAGGAAAAAGCTCTTGTGCAGAGACACAAGACTTAAAGCACCTAAAATGATGTGTATGTCTCCTGCACAGCTTAGCAAAAGCAAGAGGACTGTGTCTGTGAATGAACAGGTCAGCTTCTCATCTGTCTGAGAGAGTGGGGCAGTGGGAATTTGGCCAATGTAACAAAAAAAGTAAAAAGAGGAGGCATTCAAAGAAAAACAACTAAAATAATCAGCTGTCTGGAGGGACTGGGTTATAAGAGGAGATTACAGAAGTGCTCACTCAGTTTGAGAAACAACAGCAAGAGATGGCCCAAACAGCTGCCCATGATAATTTGAAAGGCAGAAGCACCAGGGAAGTTGAAGTGGAGAGAAAAGCAGGGTAAAGAGGATATAACTGAGTAATGTAATAGAAATAAGAACAGCAGCTGAAACACGTATCGGGGAAAGCTTCCAGGGGATGAGCAGCATTAGACTTCAGAGGAGGCTCTCAAAGGAAATGGTGGAATCCCCATAATTTGAAACATTAAAGCCAGAGTAGACAAAGCAATCATGAATATGCTGTAGGAAATAATCCTACTGTGGGATGGGATGAATGTGCTTGTCTGGCATTGCTTATGCAAAGATGTACTACTTTTCTTTTTTTTTCCTGTTGAGGTCAATTTATTTTCCCCCTTCACCTCTCCACTTCCATCTATTTGCATCTGTCTGCTCATGTCTCACAAACAGATCATGAAATGCATTATTCTGTTGCTGTATCTACCACATATGTGTCTGGATGGCTCCCTGATGTCGACTGTAAATAGCAAAAGAATTCATTAGTTAGATAAATTAATCAAGTTTCCCATGAATGGCATGCAAAGAAGAAGGGGACATAGAAGAGACAGAGAAGAGAAGGGAAAACAAAGAGAAAAGGAAGGAGAAAAGGAGAAAAGGAAGGAGAAAAGGAGAAAAGGAAGGAGAAAAGGAAGCCACTCAGCCTTTCTCATACATGGTTTTCATTCTCTGTTGTGCTACCTAAGCAAGTACCATATTCCATTTCTCCAGGCTGTTTAGACATCTGAGATCTCTTTAATTACAGTGGGCATGTGGCAGATGTCAATTGCTACATATCTTGATGCATTTGATTCTGTCTTAATTTGAAATAATTTAGATGTCCTTCTCTTAATTTATTGTGGTTTATGAAAGTGAGTCCCAGGAAAGCCAAATGGATACCATGGGTAGAGTGAGTGACCAGTGTACAGGAAAGTGTGCAGCAAATCCTGGACAGCTGAGAGGAAACTTCATAACCTTCAGTCATTTTCTTCCTTTGCACCCCTGCACATGAGCTCTGGTGGTGGGAGAACTGCAAAGTTCCTTTCTTCTCCCCGTGCCAGAGCAGCCTCGTAGCACAGCTGGCAGCAGGGAGCATGAATTCATGCCTGAGCTCTTTCTGCACATAGTTTGGCATATTAGCTCACATGCTGATGAAACCGGATTTGAGCTAAGATGCATAAAAGGGAATTTTCTTGGCTAAATGTGAAGTACTGCACAGAAAAATGAAGGAAAAGGAAACCTTGGGAGATATGTTTTCCCTTAATATATCAGGTAGTTCTCTCTCTGTGCTGGATTTCCATTGTTCTTAAAGGAACTATTTGATTATTATACATTTAAAGTATTTTTACAATGATATTTTGTACATTTTAACGATTTTCATACATTGTTCTTTTATTAAAAGCAAAAAAAATCTAATAAAAAGCTTTCTTTGGCACAGTTTAAATTAACTTTGGTTTTAAAGTTAGTCCCACATAAGATGTGTTTATTAGGCTCCTGCAGTCTGGCAAAGCCTGTTTACTCCTCCCCACTGCTCTGTTTGAGGTTGGAATTGATAACACATTTCACAAGTTCAGAGAATTTGAGGGTACTGGAATCTGGAGATAGGAAATGTCCTGATATTCTGTAAGAATTTTCTGTAATACTGTAGAAGATCCAAACACACACATGTGCACAGCTGGTTTCTCACCCCACCTCAGGCCTTATAGGAATAATAGCTGTTCACCTTCTCATGAAGGTTTGAAGCATCAGTCATGCTTACAGTTTTTGGAAAAGTCATCAGCTTTTCTTCAACAAAATTTTTAAACTTTTCAATGAATTTTTTAATCTACTGAAGTAGAAATGTGAAGTTGAGTATAGGAGTGCAAATTTTCCTGAATGAATTCCTCTACATTTTTCTGTAAATTTTTTTTTTCTGTAAAGTTTTTTTAAGGAAAATATTCATAGATGAAAAGGAACTAGAAATTTTTAATAGCTTGCCCTCCAGTTAATTCATTATATCACATTTTTAGCAACAGAAAGGCAGATTGGTGCTTTAAGATGTCATACAAAACTCTTGGCACATTGTAGAACCAATATAAGCAATATTCTTTATCTAATATGCCTCTCTGAGCTGACTATCTTTACCTTATCTAAAGAAGATGAAAATTACAACAGGTTAATGTTCAATTAATGTATAAAAATAGCTTTCAATAACCAGAAAATATACTGAGATTTTTTTTTCTACTGACATGGATAAACTCCTATTTGAACATGCCTTAATATTTTCATGGATTCACACAGTCAACAAAAAATATCCTTAGAAATATGAAATTATTCAGAAAATTAGGAAAAATGCTTATTTTTCTATTAAAAATAAAAAGATGTTTTAACCATAGACAATTTTGCCCAATTTCTACTACCTGAGATTAAATCCATTTCAGTTTGATTATTATCACACAAAGTTAGAATTAAGATTGCCATCTCAGGTGATGGTGCATTATAAAAATTCAAAACATTCCACTTTTGAATGTTTTTGATATTTTGGGTAGTCCTAGGAGAGTTTCATGCTTTCTTGATAATAAACAGGATGATAAGTTACTCTTTGTTAGTGCAGAATAACAAATGTACATCCAAAGAATTTCAGTATCTCTGTGACTTAAATATTAAGTGATCATAGAAAAAAATACACTCTGAGATGAGTATATTTTTTCTTACTTGTTTTCCCAGCTGACTTAGGAGCTTGTTTGTTAAGACTTTGAGTGTTTATGCCAACAAGATGTAGAACCTGAATTATCAGTGTCTTTTGGAAGCAAAAATGGTGCCCATCTAACATACACTTCCACAATGTCTGCAGCACCACCTTTTTATTTTCAACATTTCCTTACTTGGCAACCAAAAAAAAAAAAAAACCAGCTTGAAAGCTTGAATTGTAGTCTGAGAAGTGTGCTATAATTATCTTTACAATCTGCTCCAATTACATACTGTCTTACATCTGACATCTACCATTAGCAATTTTGCACAAATGGCAGTAAACAGATGACAATTACTGATCTCACTGCTTACCTGCATCAACTGATTTCTTCTGTCTTTCTGGAAGTAGAAAGCTTTTGCATTTCTGAGGCAGTAACTTTACATTTGAAAAAATACTCCTGTCATCTTCACTTTCACCATCACCATCCATGTAAGAATGTAACCCAGCTAAATCCAAATAACCAGTACTCAGTCTTAGCTCTTTATCACCTTTTAGTCTGTGCATCTAAGTGCTGGCCAGCTGGTTCTGGATACTTGTTCCCAAAAAGCAAGTCCACATTTTGGTCAGCCTCCAGCAAACCCAGTGCAACCTCAGGGATGCCCTCTGGAAAGTCAACCCTCATTTCTTCCACCTGTCCAGCAATCTTTGTTTCCTTCTGGCCAGGCTCTTCACCTGAGACCAATTGCCATAGGCAAGCTAATTTTTCTTTTTTTCTTTTCTTTTTTTTTTTTTTTTTTGAGAAAATTGTCTAATTTGATCCAGTCCTGAAAATCCCACATTTATTTTTCTTTAGAAGAAGCCACTTCTTCATTCTAACATTACCATGAGGTTCTGACAGATGTCTTCAAGATTTCTCTGTACTCAAGTTTGCAGAAGCAGCTTCTGTATGAGCTGGAGTCTTTTAGGACTTGCTGAGACCTGGAGAACATTTGAAGAGAACTGTACTAAAGCTTCTTCATAGAACTACTTGTTCTGGAAGATCTGGCTTCCCATTTTTTTCCCAAACTTTATTCTGAAAAAAATTCTCACTGGCCATTTGCAAAAAAAATCCTGACAGAGTTTAAATGGCAAGTGTTTAAGTGTTTAAGTGTTTGCTGTTGACATGGCCATTAATGAAACAGGCCAGAAGTTTTCTCTCTTGCATGATGTTTCCTTATTTGATTCTTAAGTGCAAAACCCAGGATTTTACACTAACCTGGTTCTGCAGACAATGACTCCAACCACACTCCCACTTATTATTTAAGGGGCATGATTTATCATTGCCTCAGGGAGGCACAGAAGAGGAATTTCTTACTTGTGAATTTATGTCAATTTTTGTTAAATAATTACATGGAAGTCGAGTTCAGTTCTGGAAACAGGATTAACCAGCAGTTATTTTCATTTCTGTGTGCTCTCTGCAGATGTTTAGGTCATTGGTTTAGTCTTCACCTTGCTTATGCAGCAGATTAATGAATTATGGTTGGACTTGATGAACTTAAAGGTCTTTTCTAGGTAAAATGGCTCTAATTCTATTAATTATTATGTATTTCTCAAATGAGAAATCAGGGCTCAGTGTCCCCTGATGTGTGAACAAATACACCCCATGGTGAGCACCACTGTGAGCAGCCACATCTGGCAGGAGAGTGGGACAAAACATCTGGGCAGGACCAGGGCAAGGCTCACCACAGTACTGATTTGCATTGTGCATGGAGTTTTTCTTCTTTTCTTTCTAAGCTAAAAAGGTTAATGTTTGACTATTTATTTGGCTGAGCCTCCTTAAAGGCATGAGCTCAGTGGACCATTTTAATAACAGTAGACAGTGCTTCCTGCCCCCTCTTCTCTCTGGCCCTGGGAGCTATTCTTACCAGGAAAAAATGAAAGTCCACAAACACGACATCACTGGCCTACAACCCCATGTCAGCAGCTCAGATTAATCATCTTTAAACTGTTTAACTTTCGGTGACAAGCTTTTACATTTGTATTTGAAATAGCCCGGGAAATTCAGGTCAGGATTGACAGCTGGGAACTTCAGTTCCAAAGTTTAATATTACTTCTTTCTTCATCTTCTTAATGCTTTTAAATACAGACACATGTCTAAGGCCTGTTGGCTTCCAGCAGCATTGGAGCTAACAGTGAAATAATTTAATTTTTTGGGGTTATCATGCAGAGAATGGGGTAACATCTAGCTGTGTAGAAAGAGAATAATATTTACTTATATCATCAGACAGAGTGAGAACCACTTATTCAATAGTACTTGTGTGTTTCTCCAGGGAATGCCATGACTTCCACAGATACCACGTTTATCTAACATTAAACATTTTTTTAGCAATATAAGGAAGCAATTTTACATAAGAACTCAGACAATTCTTATGCATTAAAATGCCTCCAGTATTTCCTTCTGGTTTCAAGACTGTCCCTGAGATTTTACAAAAATGTCTTTTCACCACAATTAAGAGGGATAGGTTTTCACTTTCTGGGATTTAAATCTTGCCTTTTGGAGAAAGCTGGAGAGCTTAGTATTCTCCAAACAGGGCAATCCTGCATTGCAAGAACAGGTTTCAATCACACACCTTGATCTTGCTTAATTCTCTTTTCCTATTCTTTTTCTACTGTTTCTTGGTCTGATTTTTAACTGATCTGTTTACTGACCTTTCAAACCTCTCCTACATCACTTCAGAGGCAAGAGGAGGACTCTTGCCTTGCAGCGTTATCAGATGTATGAAGTCCTGGAAGCACATGAGTACCTGACCTTGGATTTGTCTGGGTACTAATGAGCAGGGAAAAAATAGATGGGACGAAATTCAAACCTTTGTATATTTTTGGTACAAGTCTGTGTATGAATGTCTTTATTTTGATGAGAGAC